CAGTGCCTACTGAACAGGCTTCTGACAAATAATTCTAATTTTAAATTATTAATTTTCAACTATTAGATAAGTTAATGCTATTAACCTAAAATTTCAAATTAATAAATCATAAGTTTAATACAATTACTTTCAATGCAGTACTTAACACTCCCTACATATAAAATTAGTTCATACAGAAAAGGTTATGTGAAGAAATCTCAACACATAGAATTCTCCATTATCAGACGTTGATGTGCTTTGTGAGCAATAAGAAATTAAGTTTCACCTGTGCAGTACCACCTACTGCAGTTATAGCTAAACTTTACCCACCGTAATCTAAAATGCTGCAGCTACCACCAGACCTATAGTGTAAAAAGACCACCTTTGTTGTGCGAAATGTAACAGGTATTACTTTACAAAGAAAATAGAAAACTTGGCGAGAATTGTGAAAATTCAAACACCTCATGCTTCTACAGCGCATATATTTCCATGGTTACCATGTGCAAAAAAAATCCCCAATACATTTTAAGAATGAGTTCCAAGAACAAGATTTTCTAAGGTACTACTATAAAATATCTTGTAAACATATCACATCCTTGAGTAAAGGTTCTTAGCAAATTCTAGTAGTTAAACACTAATATACATAATAATCAAATTTTCCTCTTACCATCAAGATTACATACCAAGCCCAACATTTATGGCACCTCCTGCAGTTTTCCTCCAGGTAAGCCATCCATCCCTCCACGCTGTTTAAGATCCTAACTGGCTAGCACCAACTTTCCTCTCCATCTTCCTGCTCCACCCTCCCTCTTTGTAAAAGTTCAGTGACTAAAATGGATAACATATTACTGGGCAGCTATCACTGGAAGTATGTTTTATAGTTAGATTATTAGAAACTGTAAGCAGGTAGTTGATCTGATCCGCATATTGATTAATAAATCCCCTGAAGCAGGGAATGCCTCTCATAATACTAGATATACACTCATGGACAAATACCCTTTTCTTTAGAAGCAATCCAAGTTTTACTGAACTCTTTTCTTCCTTATACTCCAAACTAAACAACTGTAAGGGCTGTTGACTGCATGGATGCATTTTACAAGTGACTCTTGTCCTGCTTTTTGTTTTTTCAAGTATTTCATACAAGGCATCAAAATACTTGTAGATACTCCAGTCTTGGTTCAACTGCACTCATGTCTAAGTCTGCTTCCCACAAAAGCTACCTTGTCCCAGGTCTCACAGTAACAAAACGACACATTTTCATACACATGCACTGGGATCAGTAGGACACATCTTCACAGCTGTCAGGGTAAATCAGCAAAATAGCTCTTCATCTCATTGCAAGATTTGAGCTTCTGACACATCGCCATATCTCCTGCAGAACGGGCTTTCCATATTTACAGGAAAGGGCTGCCTGCAGTAACTAGCCAAGCAGAAGTTCATTTATAACCTTAAACAGCAGAGAGGGTGACTTCCTGAATAAGGAAATCTTATATAAACAAACACACTTCACAATTCAACACAGTGAGTGAACAACAAATTTGTTTGCCTCAGGATTAAGGCAAGCAATAAGTAGGTGAGAGTGTTTACTATCCATTCTGATAAGGAATGGGACTTTAGAGAGAAACTGGTTAAAGTCAGCGCTAATTTGTATAAAAGGCAGGCATGAAATTTGCCGAGAACTGAGCTGCAAATCCTGACAAAAAAAAAACCAAAAACCAAACCCTAAGCCGCATGAATGAAACGTTATTCAAGTTACAAAACAGCCCACAGGAACCTCAATAATTAAAGCTGAGAAACTCCTGTTGTGAACTTTGGCCTGCAACAGCAATACCAGCAGCAACTCCTAGAGAAACCAGCAACAAATAATTATCTAAACAATTTGAGATGCAAACTGAAAACAAAGGAAAGATGAAAATTATTCTTGTAACAAAATATCCATCAGAACTGTAACAACTGGGACTAAAGTAAGTCACAATTCAAGAAAGACAAAACTGAAACACACCAAACACCCTTTCCTTTAGAAGAAACCTTAGTTTTATTAAACTAATTGTTTGCTTAGACCCCAAACCAAGAACCCTGAGGGACTATTCACTGTATGAATGCAATTTAAGAACTCCCTCAACACAACTCTTGTGTCGCCTTTTCTTTTTTCCAAAATTTTGTACAAAAATCAGAACAAAGCATGAACCCAGATCAACACCAAAGAAATTATTCTAGTTCCACTGTCAGAGGCGAACGTGTAACATCGGGGAATTTTTGAAAGGAAGAATCCATCAGTCCCATAAGTCGCATGTATGAAGATATGGCACCTGGAAATTCCATGGCATCCTTCCATTTTCTGCAGTCTTTTCAGCAGTAGAAATAATTAGTTGCTGCTTCTTGTCTTTCTCCCATAAAGGATGTTCCCAATGCAAGTAACTATGCATGCTACGTCCCTTTACCCTCACTCCTGAACCACTCCTATTCTCCAGTGCAGACAAAGCTGGACAATAATTCAGCAGTCTGTCAGCATTGCTCACCCTCTTTCCTCATACTTACCATTTGTCTCCACACACATTTGGTAAGTACTGTATTATGAGCATAAATGTCTATACCAGCAATTACCTCTATCTACAGTATTTGAAAGTACTGGCCCAACCACATACTTGGTGATACTTGGGATCATTAAGCCTATTCCTAGTGAAACAGAAGATCTATCAGAGTAGCACCTTTCAGAACTAGGAGCTGGGGCTCTGGAAGTTACAGTTTTATCTGTTCAAGAACGTTCTGCCGTTAAAAACAAAGCCCCAAAACCAAAGAAACAGAAAAAGGGTTTTCCAAGTCTTTTCAGAAAAACAATCATACAAAGTGAAGCTCTCTGGGATGGGGGTGCAAAGAGGGGAGAAGTAAACCAATTGTACCTGCAATTGAACAAAATCTTGGCAGTCTCTCACAAGAGGAGGATCCGATTTTATTCACTGATGGGGCAAAGCGACACTGCTGCAGTGAAGACCACAACAAAAGTGCACTGAAAAACAGTTGTTTACATGGGGAAAGGTCTACAGCGAAGACAATCTAATCCTCACTTGACAAAGAAATATTTTGTCACCTTCCCCTTGTCAAAATTAGACTTCTCATTTATAGACCTTTTTGACTGGGAGCTGACTCTTCGTAGAAGCTGCAGCTATTTATTTCTATTTCTAATGGAACTGGGAGCCTGGATGTCGAGATGAATGAGATCTACAGATGCAAATTGCAGAATAAAGCCCCAGGGAAAAAAACCCAAACCCAACCCCACCACCTCCTAGGAAAAATAAAAATCAATCAATAAAACACCTTCAACCTCTTTTTCACCTCATTCATAAAGAATTTTTTTCCCTTAAGATGACTCAATCACACCAGCATACCCCACCCCCCCCAATACCCCAACACCCAAACAGAAAAATTCAAAATTCATAGAGCTGATTTCCACAAACCTTAATTCCTGAGGAAGCTACAACCTAACAGTAAGAGAAACAGAGAAAAGGGCGATGGAAAACCCAGCCTGGTAACTGGCGAAAAGCAGACTTTCTGACCCAGTGAGAGACCTCTCCACCAATGGACAAAGGCAGTAGCGTGCTGTAGAGAAGCACAGCAAGGCTGCAGGTTTCAGCCACACTTCCAGAGAGGCTGTGCAGGGGCAGATGTCGGTGGGGAGGTCCGGCTGCTGTGTACACCAGCTCCCCACCGGTATCCTGCCTGCCAGCATCCCCACAGCGCTGCAGGGAGCACACAGCGGAAGCCAGGCCACCTCCTTCAGGGACAGACTGCGTTAAGGTTTACTTAAACAGCCGCAGCACTGCAACCTAAATCTCCATAAGGTACATACAAAGTTCTGAAACCTCGTTTTGTAACTGTACCAGTTCCGGTATCTGTCTGTTGTACTTTGTACACCAAGGAAACAACAGCCACACATTCTAATTGCAGAGAAGATGACCTCAACACATTTGTATGATGTAAATATATGTATAAGCTATATATATATATAAGATATTAGATAAGGCAGTGGGATGGCTCCTCCCACTCTTTTATCTCATGCCGTGTACTAAAGTGAAACCTTTGTAAAAATGGTCCTTTAAATTCACAGGATAAAGCAAAACCACACAAACACACAAACCCCATATACAGGATTAACTGTTTATTCTTTTCAAGCAATCTCTAACCATCTCAAGTCATCTTCCAAAGCTCCAGACTATCTGCTTGAAACAAAACAAGCAGCATTTCAGGAAATAAAACATATTAGGGCTTTTTGCAAACAATTTCAATTGACAGCTGTTTCCAAGGAAATAAATGTGCAGAGTTCATATATTTAGATACAACTTTCAATAATATTCCAAGAAAGAATATAGTACTTCGTAATTCCATGAAAATCAAAGTACCTTGTAATAAGTAGTCACAATGGCTTTAGAAAGCAAATACCTGCCTGTAAGTTTATGAGATCTATTATAGTATTTCATTTCAAATGAGAATCCCCTCCCCTACTTCCATGAATGACCTCAACTATTCTGCTATCCCATCATTTAGAAAGAATAAAAACCATAGAAGAATAGGCTGGGTCAGACGAAAATCAATGAATGCCAATTTAAAATTTTTAGGTGACAATTATAATAATTTCAGAAGGCATCGCTGATTTGTATCAATTCACATAAAATAATTATGAGTGGCATAGAAAAATCAAGTGATCCGATATGTGTATCATTCAATTATTAAATTTTCCAAGTCAGACTGTGCCTTAATGATTTGTAACAGTTATTTCTAAAGGAAATATTTAAAATAAAATTTCAAATACTAAGTACCAGTTATGCAAAGCAAAATATTTAATAAAAACTGCAATATTTTATGACTAATCATTTTTAACAGAAACCCACAGTGAGCCGATTACAAAAACAAAGAGATCAGTAGTCGATGCAGCTATGCAGACAAGAAAGAAAAACCTAGTAGATTTTTCCCGACTGTGAAGATTGAACAAAAATATCACAATAAAGGGAACAGAAAAGACTTACCATTCATGTTGAAAAGCCAGCTTTCAGAAACATATTGCTCCTAATATTAATCCAACGGCTGAATGAAGTATTTTAATCTCAACCAAATCAGTGCTCCAATATCTAAACACACTTATACTGTAACTGGAAAGAGAGAGCACACAGAATCCAGAGAGCTGCTCTTTCTTGTAAGCTCCTTGCGATGCAAAAAAAACTATGAAGCACAAGGTACCAGTAGTAAACCAAAATCAATATTCAGGACACCGGGATTTAGTTTTGCTCATTAAACTACTACTGTTCTGACCAGCGCTACCTATTCATGTCTAAAGCAACGCAAAATGGCAGGGGGAAAAAAAAGCATGCAAACACCAGGAGGTTTTAAGATGTTCTCAATTATATCAAGCACTGGTTGTTTCCATGGCAACCTTAGACCAGAATTATCTGTTGACTTGTACCCAAGTAGCAGTTATTCTAAAGCTTGAATCAATTCACACAATATACTCTGTACATTATTTCATCTTTCACATATATTTTTCTCTACACACGCACATACAGATAGTAATTATTAATCTAAATCTCTGTAAGTCATTCCATGGTATTGAGAAGTATACTGATAGTATTTTGAATCGGTTCGAGACCAAATAATATTCCTCTGACTATTCATCACTATTCATCAGCTGCAATTTAGAGACTATGAAGATGACAGAAAGACACACTAATGGTGACTCTCCTGACCATCTGAATTATGCTAGTTGATAGTGTTCTCTTATTATGCAGATTTGCAAAATATCTGTATCAGTTAAAGATATTCACACTGATCTTACTGTCTTTACATTCAAAACCAAGCAGCCTCATTCTCCTTTCCTTTCCAATCTCAATCTTTGAGACTGAAAGAGCAAAAAGCAACTAAGAAAACAGAACAAAATCAAAATGTAGGTTCCATACAGTTGTAAGTAGTTACAGTCAAGACGTCTAAACTAAGAACAAAACACACCCTTCCGATGACTACCATCACAGCCCTTTCATCCTTTGGCTGTGCAGCACAACTGACCTGGTTACCAGTTCAGGCTGTACAATTACACATGCGCTCAGTCAGCTTTTTAAAACAGATTCCAAAGCCCGCGGTGCCTGACCCACCTCTGCCCCACTGGATTCTGAGGATTTACACAACACATTAATTTCAAGCATCAACCAAGAATCCAAAGCACATTAGAAAAACTATGTTTTACATACCAAAATAAAGAAGCAAAGACATTCTATTTCAAAACCAATCATTGAAAAAACCCTAAGACCATAGACCACATGACAAATTACTCAAACCCACAACAGCAGACAACTCAAACAAAAAGTTCATCCAGCAAGCAGCAGCTCCTTCCCCTTCACCAAACCCACAGCTTCATCAGTAACTGCTTGTAGAAGGATATACATAAAACTGGACCTGTTACAGTACCTCATTACACCAGAACAGATAAATACATTAATTTCCTTTTCAAATGGACTCTATCTGAAACCTAAAGGAGCAAGATTCTGAGAAGTCACTTTCCAAACTTTTTTCAGGTACTAAAACCAGCGCTTCTGCCTCAAGTTTAAAGAGTAAATCATGCTGTCTGCTATGCAGCTTCACCCAAGACCTTACACGGGTATGTCTAAGTTGCTGTGATATGAGCCTAATGATTGAGAATATTCAAATATCCTTGCAAGTCAAACACCAGTATGTTCCTAACCAATGCTTCTTCATTGAACTTTCTGCAAAATTAATCTACTCCTTACCTTCTCTATCACTCCTTCACCTACAGTGGTAGTGAAATGAGAATCTTGAAACACAGACTCAGTCCATGTGCACCTGCAGTATGTTATCATTTTTAAAAATAATTACAAATTGAGAATAAAGGTTCAGGATACAGATTATGAATTTCACCCCAAAACTAAAGCTACATAATTAACCACCATTCAGCTACAAGCTCAGTAACTTTGGCTCAGAAAAACTGCATGTAACCACTGTGCTTAATTATGACTTAAAACAGCATTCGCCGAACAGCCATTTTCACCATGTTTATCATCAAGAGACACGACAGTCCATTTCCTCATCAAGCATGTCACACGAGGAACCCCGCCTTAACTAGAAGGGAAAGAAGTAGTAGAGACTTGTACACAAACAGATCACAATTTGTAAGTGTCAGCAGGTCAATACCATTTTTTTCTTCATGTTCTATTTTTTTTTTCAAATAGCTATTTACATTAAAAAAGAAGAGCTTCTACATAAGCACAAGTATGCCTCTATTTTTACTAAGCTAAAAACATTTTGGAGAAGTAGAAGGTCAGAATTTATGCACTTCCATCATTTATCTTCCCAACAAAACTAGTCGATCCTCTCACCTCTCATTTGGGAGCCCTAGATTAAATCTATTTTAGGCCAATGCATTAACACCTTTTTGTTTCCCTGTTTATTGCTTATCCTCTGAGAACAGATTCACTCCCTCCTCAAATAATATTTTAAATTGCAAGCAGGGAGATGTATAAAACCAGATTTTCTTCATGGCAATACTGTAATGCTAAGCATTTCCAATAAGGCGTATTTTCCACTGAAATAATTGTGCTATCTCAAATCCACCAATGAATCTGAAATCTGGAACAAAATTATCATCTATTACCATATTGTAACATTTTAAAATGAGTATTTAACCACAGAGACAATAATTGCTTTGCAAAATAATGCATGGCTTTAAAAGAAAAATATGAAAATCAAACGTCAATTTATTTAGATTGATATTTTTTGAAATCTCTCACTTATTACCCAAAATGCAATCACGAAAAGTTTTAATCCATCAAAATAATACTGTAGACTGTGAACTAATTAAGAAATTAAAGCTAATGATAGTCAGCACATTAAATTAGTAAATAATAGTTAAAACCAAACACAATTTAATGGTTTAATATTGGATAGAGTATACGTATAGATGTATATATGCCTTAAAACAAAATGATGAATGATAAGAAGCCCTGTAATTAGAAGTTTAATCTGTGCAGCAATGCCCGCTATTACAGAGTTTAAACATTGCAATCTTTAATGAGTTTTCTATTTCTGCTGAACTAGCTGATTCAATTTGAAAACAAAGGAAGTAATTTAGAAGTAAGTATCGGGGTGGGGGCTTGCCCAAACAAGTCAACTGTGCTTTATAAGAAAAGAAGGGACAAGGGATGAATTATTCTGCCAGCCACCAGTCCATGAGCCAGACCCCCGGCCCCTCTGCCAGATGTAATATGCTATTCTTCAAATTAACACCTTTAGGTAATGAATCATAAAACTGTCTCTGGAACGTAACACAGATCAGCGTTCATATTTGATTACAAACATGCAAGTTCTGCACTTCCTAGGCAAATGAAGAGCAAATATCTATAAACAACTCCCCTACTTACTTGATTTGTCCCATAGGACAGCAAGCTCAGAGCAATGTTGGCTCCCATTTTGCAGAGCCGCTCTCTGTTCATGTGCACCACTCTTTGAATGCCTATGGAAAAGGCGATTAGCAAAGCCTTCCAGCCTCTGCAGCGCTGTGGCCGTCCCTGTGCACTGGTTACAAGGTACCTCCTTCTGAGCTGCCATCTATACACACTAGCGACTTTTACAAAAGCAAGAGAAAATATCTAAAGGGAGCTGGACAACCCAGAGCCACTCAGAGCTATGCATGTGTCAAGCTTCCTGTGTGCAGTGTTTTCTAACCACTACTCTCTTCTACTTCCTGTTAAGAAAAACTCTATACTGGTTTATACTGCTCAAAGTCTCTTTTTATGTCAATCAGAAAGTGGGCTTGTTTTGTTTTTAAATGTGTAATAATCGCTACAGCATGCGTTCTCACAGCTTTTTAATACTTCATATTTTATATTTAAATACACATTTTATGTTAAAATACTACAAAGGACTTGTTCAGAAGATCAAAAGGTAGATCTATTTTTCTTTAAATTTACCACAACCATGCATGAACAAAAGTGACTGTTCTGCAGTTTTTCCCGTTACTAAGATGGAGTACCACCATCATCACAGCAAACATAACCAGTTGTAATCTAATCATTAGTAATCATGTTTTCAACTAAACAACTTTCTAAGTAAGGAGTTTACTTGCACAAACTACTGAATAAGCTATCATTTTATTATGAGGGGAAGGGAGAAGTATTATTTTTCGCCTTTGAAAAAAATCAGACTGAAGAAGTTGAATTCTAACATTCATATAAACACAACTGCATTATACTTATCCAAATTGGATTCTGTTTACTCTAGGAATGAACCAAATGCTTTTAATTTTTTCAAGAATAAAGCACCAGAACAAGCAGCACAGGCAGATCCTTATCTAGCAGCATGCTCACTCTTCCAGCCTCAAAGGCTGCTGGAAGGAGAGTCACAAAGTCACGGTCACCAGCTCCTGACACTGCTTATGTAAAAGCTCTACATGCTGGTATTGTGTAAGAAAGTTTTTCATTCAAAAGAAATTTGAGTATTTTCAACTGTACAGTAAGTCTATAAAGCATCATTTTTAATGGCCCAAACCATAGGGAAATAAACTGAAAGCTGTATTTAACATTAAATTATATTAATTTGCAAATTAATGTAAATTTTGCATGCTTACAATGGGCAATACTAAATATTCATTTTGTGAAAATGGAAACACATACATTAGGCAGGTTTCCCAGTGTACCCTCTGCACATGTAAAATGCAGCTTCTTAACAATTTAGGCTACTCTTAAGAAAGATTGAAATAACTTTCCTACAATCTGTCTCCTGTCTTACAGTCAACACGTGTTAAAGACATACCTCTCAATTTTTACCATCATACTTCTCACTGAATAGTTTTCAAATGTCAGCAGATATCCATCCTTGGACATTATATAACTATTTCATAACAGCTCTGTGCTTCAGAAAAAAAACCATGATGACAAACTGCATTCGATAACGATAAAACAATAAAAATGCTGTTGGACAGACTTTACAGATTTGGCTACATTCCTCCTAACAGGCACTTCTTAACTTCCTGGTACCAGCCTCTGTCAACACAACAGTTTAAATTTCTAAAGACTATACAAAAAGCACAGGAACGCCCTTTGCTTGCAGGCTCCAGATACACTTGAAAACATATTTTCCTTCTACAGAACCTGTTCAAAAATTGGAACCAACTGTCCAAATGCTTATAATTTACACACCAGTTTGCAAATCTAGATGAGAACCTGCTATCTGTTTGGTGACCAGGCTGCTCTCCCCAGTCAGGGTCAGGTGCTGCAACCTTCCCTGGATGCCAGCCCATTACAAGTCCTTCTCCACCTTTCATTTTCCAGCTTCTCACCCGTTTTGTCACAAGATCAATGCTGACTTCCATGACATCCCATCAGTTCGAGACTGCTGGAAGAAACAAGAGCTGGTGAAGACTACGGGGATCCATTTGC